CACCATAGTGATGGTGGTTCTGAAAGCTGGTGCTGCTTAGAAACAAGTTGTGGTCTACACAAAGCTTCAGAAAATGGTTCTCATTATCTGGTCTGTTACAGTGTGCTCATCACTGATCATCCAGATGAATCTTTTCTGAGCCTAGACACTATCTGTGCATGTTAGCTCCCAGCTAGCACTACCACATCAGTCAAGCACTAACGGTTTCCAAGGTCTCCAAATCGATGGTGAAACTCATCCTTAATTTCATTCACACTGAAATCCGCTGTTACACACACACTAATAACAAAATGACAATGCTTCTTCAATAAGTTGCTCTTTACTCTGATATAACTTCCTAGCTTAACATCTGATAATCGACTGTTAGTTAGGACCCTACCAAGTGTAACAACAGAAGACAAGGGCCAGGCAACAGATCGTTTTATTATGAAAATCAACACGTATTTATACATATTTCAACTACATTATTATAGACAAGCGCAGTCATCTGATTGGTTGTTTAGGTAGACAAACGCAGGCCTCTGATTGGTTGTTTCGGGATTCCTTGACAAATAGAGTTCTCTCTGCGAATCACATTTTGCCACGTTAACTTTGCTGTGATTGGTTGTTGACTCAGCCTTGTTCATATTTTCTCACGGCCCATATTAGTGACCTAGACCTTAACGTAGATTAGTGCCAACCAATCGGCTAGCAGCCTGCTCTCACCACACTCGTCCCCCCGTCAAATACGTGCGACTGAAGTCGGCTTGATCTACTTGGTGCAGGCGTCATCGTTGGCTTGTCTCGCTGTATCTGTTTCTGGAGCTCGCTGACGTTCACGCGCCTCTCATTGTTCGCCATTGCGACTGTGTCTGCGTAACCCCATCTCGAAGTGACCATATATGTTCCTTCCCACTTTGGAAACTGTTTGCCTGACCCTGTCGAACATTCGTCCATACTTCGGCCGACACCTTCATATGCTGCTTTCGCCCGACCTCCCAGCAGCGTCTCAAGTAGCAGCTCCATCGCTGGCAGATCTTGAACGCCACTCAACTGCGCAGAAGCCTTGAAGTCCTGCCCGAAGATCCATATGTCTCCATCAAAAACTGCAGGGTATAGGCTTTTCATTTGTCGGCTGGCAGCGACACCAAATGTAACAACAGAAGACAAGGGCCAGGCAACAGATCGTTTTATTATGAAAATCAACACGTATTTATACATATTTCAACTACATTATTATAGACAAGCGCAGTCATCTGATTGGTTGTTTAGGTAGACAAACGCAGGCCTCTGATTGGTTGTTTCGGGATTCCTTGACAAATCGAGTTCTCTCTGCGAATCACATTTTGCCACGTTAACTTTGCTGTGATTGGTTGTTGACTCAGCCTTGTTCATATTTTCTCACGGCCCATATTAGTGACCTAGACCTTAACGTAGATTAGTGCCAACCAATCGGCTAGCAGCCTGCTCTCACCACACAAGCATTAGTGCTCTGGATATAAGGCGTACAGAGACCACATGATCAGCTGAATCGTACAGTGATGCTATAGAGTCCCTGCTTATGTGCACATGAGGCGTACTATTTGAGCTAACATATGGAGAACGTATTCGAGGCACTTTACCAGGATGTTGTACGCTGATTTCTGAGATCCAACATAAACACTTAGCAAGAAGTTGCAGAGTTATTGACGGACCTTTCTAATGTCAGACTGACATCAAAGTGTGAATTTTGTAGGTTAAAAGCAGGTGGTTCACCCTATTAGGCCACTACATATGGGAGATATAATGCAGACACCTATGATCAAAGACAACTAGCCTTTCGATGTCTCCCACTTTCAGTGGTCATGTCTCAAATCCAGACAGGAAGGAGGACGGAGAGGGTCACTCAGCAGTAACACACACCCTTTGGTCGAGAGCCAGCTGGATATCACCTCAACGCCAGAAAGCGTAAACTGGCATATGTGAAACGAGCCTTCTGTATATATGCTGAGATTTCGTCAGCGAACAACCCTCTTGCGTTGTCTGATGCAACTTCCCAAATAAGTGAAGTGGTCAATACGCCCTACCACATCACTCCCTATTTCTAGACTAGGAGCCAATCTAGTCCAGTCCTGTAGCGTCATGTTATATTTAGCGGGAGAGAACCACATGCCAAACATCCGCAGATTGTAGCTCAAGGTGTTCAGAAGACTATGCATTTTGTCAGCGACTTCACGTAGGAGGACTATATCATCTGCATACCTCGAGTCAACGAAATTATTCCCTGGTGGTAACAGGTCAATCCCTTAGTCACTGAAGCCAGTCAGGGTTAAGTCCATTAGTACATCTATCATGAAACCAAACAGAAGTGAGGAAAGTGGGCATCCCTCACGGACACCACTAGTTGTCACCACTTTAGTTGACAACTCTCCGTATGCTCTCACCTGGCTGACTGCATGATTTCGAGTACAGTGCCTTGATCAGTATGATGTATTTACTCGGCATTCCCTTTACAACCGAGTATCGCCATAGTATATCTTGGTTGACAGAATCGAATGCCGCCTTTACATCAAGAAATATTTTTTTATTACAGCTTGATTTCACACCGTATTTTTGGTACAGGTATGGAATTTTCAGTCTCTGATATCGGTAGCCCAAATTTTGCAGGCCGACCATAGATATCAGATGTGCGTCGGCAGAGGATCGAACTCCGGACCATGTGCATGATCGATGAGAGTCCTAACCGCTGTGCCACCGACGCACAGATTGTTGGACACTGGCAAGTATGTCTATTGAAAGATGAATATATGATCAACACACCCTCTTCCTTGTCTAAAGCCCACCTGGTTCTCGCGTGTTTGTTTCCCCCGAGCATAGTTTACTCTACACATAATTATTGAGCTTAGAACTTTCGATACCATATTGGTCAAGCTAATCCCCCTGTAATTATCACAGGAAAACTTGTCTCCCTTCCTATATACCGGGATAATTAATAACTCAAACAGCCCAACGAAACTATCTTTGATTCCCAGACGCTGCCTAATACCTTAGGCAGTAGACTATCCTCATCGTCCTCAAACATCTCTGAAGTCATTTCATCAGGCATCGATGCTTCGCCTTGTTTCACAATAGTGACAGCTTTTATAACCTCAGTTAGAGACGGTGTTTACAACCCATTCAGAGAGATGCTGGACAAGTTGAGCGTGGCTGTGGACCAATTAAATTGCTCCTCAGTGTTATTTACAACATTCCAGCCGTCTATCCTGGGAGCTAATTACGGTGCCATTTTTCTCAGAGGTTGTTTCACTTATCGTTTGCCTTTTACCACCTGTTTCCCTGATAAGTCTAAATAGTTGTATGGTGTTACCAATCGCTGATGCCTTTTCCATCTCTTTCGCTTTTGTCATCCATCACTGTTCACGGTCGTTACGAAGACTTCTCGTTAGTTTGCGCTTGAGCAGCTTTCGCTCCTCATCAGATTCGGAGCTCGCCAGAATCACTCTTCTTGAGTCAATCAGTTCGGATGAGGTGGTAGAAATCCGACGGCTCTTACTAACTTTTGGTTTCAGGTTATTAACAACTTTTATAGCTGTGTCTACAGCTAACTGTATGTTGTGCTAGGCTCCCTCAGGAGGAGTCTTCCTGTCAACCTCAGATACTCGTTTCGCCATTTCTTCCTTAAATAGGGACTCGGTGTCCTGATCAGGTTGGGGGCTAAACTGCTCCACTCCCAAGTCTCCTATGTCCATTTGATCGTAAGAATAAACATGCGGAAACCAGGCTGTGATCGGAGTCTGCACACGTGTTCCAGAAGGAGCGGCAGTCTTTCACTGACCCTCACCAACGATCCCCTATCGCTATGTGGTCCTGAGTCCAGCAATGATTTGGTGGTGGAGGTCGCTATGTTAGACAGTGTCTCTCTTGACGCCTAAAGTTAGTGCTGACTAGGAACAGAAGATTATCTGAACAGAACTGTAGAAGACAATGACAGCTGTCGGTCCGTCGCCAGGGAACTCTGTAAGTACCACCTATATACCTCTCGGTCTAGCACAACTTCCCTACTTGGGCACTGAAGTCGCCTGCTAAAACTGTATCTGAGCGTTTCGCTTTTTGCAGCAAACTAGACAGTTTCTGGTGAAAATCATCCTTTGCTTCTTCCGAACTGCAGACGGCTGGGGCTTAAGCGGAGACTAAGAAAAGACAACGACGGGTAACGCCGTCTTTCCTTCTTCTAACGGACCCGTTCAGGTGGACCGCACACATACGAAAACCTACTGGGATCCAGTCAAGAAGTGATTTTTCTGCCCTAACACTCAATACTATCCTTACACCTGTGAGTCCTCGCGAACTAGCTGAGGAATCTCCCGACTCCCTTAAGGTGAATTTTAGAGACTCACATTGTTGGCCGTGTGAGGTCAAGTGAATAACCACACTCGGGTCTTGCATGTGTGTCTCTGAAATACAACATGCATCCATGGCTCGAGATGCCAGAGTTCTCACTAGTGATGTCTGTTGTCCGATTTGCCAGAGTCCTGACGCTGAATGCTCCTACATTCCAGCCAGTGCAGCTTGTTGGGTCATTGCGATTTGCAAGCCCAACCACCACGTCAAGGTAGCACCTATCGGTCGGGTATTTCGTGTGGGGAGTGACATACTGTCAGGTCGCCAACACGATCGTCTTGACAAAAAATACCTGAGAATTCGTCTTTACGTCCTATCCATAATGTGCTGGTCAGATCAAAACATACCAACCAACGAAAATATCTGACGTTTTGTTGATAACATGTAGGTGGCTTGAACGGGGTACTCGACCTATACCGGCTTGGTAACATAATTCAAGAGTTCACAGTAGCGCAGAAGCACTGACTCTCCATTACCTTCGAAATTTTGGAAATCACTAATCTTCCTCTAATATTACTAAATAACCTACATGAAGTAAATAGCTGGCAACTTCCCACACTGATACATACAGCGTAAACATTAAAGGCACTTTCAGTCAAACATTTACATGAAACCTGTCATCGCGATTTTAAAATACTAACTGGTTCTTGCTAATTTTCACTTTATTACAATTGAAAACCAGGATAACATGATATTTGTTTCAATCGAATATTATAGGCAGCTTAATAAGATTTACATTCATCATGTTACAAAGAGGCAGAAAAATAATCAGACATTTTCATCAAAGATATAAAAGATCTTGTATATGAGGTGGAGTAAAGGAGTTTGTGATAAAATACACAAACAAAACTGATAATCCACATGTGTACATATGATTTTAAGCAAATCATAATCTACATGGTGTATGGGAATGGTGAATCAACGAGTGTTGATCATCAAATACATGAACATAAATCAGTTGTAAAAGTTGATCATATTTGAATAAAACTGAGTTCTACCACTATCAAGTGAAACGAATCAAGTGGTATTCGTGAATAAATTGTCTCATGAATCACCGCTTTAATCATGTAGTCAAAAGTAATACGGTTTAGTTTTTAGGTCCAAAACTGATAATAAACCTCAGACACATTAAATTTGTTGATAATCACCACCGTTACCACGAATTCGATGACGCTGACTGGTAACAATAAATATAACCAAAGCAATTACAATCATCACCGCTAGTGAAATTCCGATGATAGTCGGAACGAGTTTATTTAGTCCACTATCGAGTGCACATTCAACCACTAAAGTAAAGCAAAGAAAAAGGCATAAGAGGAAAACAATGACTATTTACTCACGTGATAATGTTACACAGTAAATAAATAGGTTCCTATTGTTAAAATTAAAACACGACGTATAAGCGAACAATACTGTTTTTAACTAGATCTTTCTCAGGATTCGCTCTAACGTTCATAGCTCTATATATAGAGATATTTTACTGATGACGGTGAATGTGTGAATCAAAAATAAGTGTTGAATGTTATAAATAATAGCAATAACAGTGATAAACAGGTCAGTGATAATGAAAGTACAAGTAGTTGACGCAGATGGTCATAAGAATAATGATGATATCATGACAATATAAACAATTCAATAACTAGACTAAATCAAAATCGTATGACACCAAAATGTTGAGTAATACTAATACTTACTTACTTTACTTCGGCTATCTCCTACGGGAGGATGAACCGGCTTCATGAACATCTCGAATGTTTGTATGAGAGTTGATGAAGTTTCATGGGAATTGGGTACGAGTGATGTCCCCAGCATCGCTCGGCCTTTTGTTTGAGAGTGCAGCTCTAGCCTTTACACAGCCAAGTGTGACCTACAAGGCAGTAGGAGTGGAGTAGGGAGTCCACTATCCATTGGCAGCCGGTGACCGGAGTCCGGTTCATACGCCTTTTTGAATGGGGCAAGACATCCAGGGCATCCAATAAGCTCTTTGTCCATACGTCTGCCGGTGAACTCCGGTGAGCTTCATACGCCAGTCGTTGGAGGTTTGGAATCAGGGTTTAGCCATCTCCCCTAGACTGTCATCCAATGGACAGTCAACCCGGTGAAGAGCGCCGGGCATCCGCTTTTGCCCTCTGACTTCGGTGAAAAACACCTCCGCCACGTGAAGGCAGTGAGTAGGACTTCCTCAGGAGAGGCTATGTAAGATGCACGGTCATATGGGAGCATTTCAAGAGGTGTACGGAGGGGTGGCTAGCCCGCAGCGCAAGACACCCACCCCCGACCATCCTGAGGCTTTGGAGGCTTTTAAAGGGATGATCCGAAGACCTCCCCACTAGCAAAAACTACGCGTCCGAGCGAGCCCAATTAGGGATCGTCGCAGGCTTCAACACGCCGAAGTGCAAAGGCGAGCCTCCACCTGGGGCCAGGGCATTCCTGATCACCCTGGTCCCGGCGCCGAGTAAGTGGATAGATAATAACATTTGACATGTGAAACAAGTAAAGAATAAGACAGGTTGAGATGTTTTACTTCATTTATCAGATCTATCTTGGTCGAGGGAGAGAGAAAGCAGAACAATTTAATCACCAAACCGGTTGTTATACGCTGCAGCCCTAAAAAACCAAAGTCTGTCACAGTACACCATAATCGGTTTCAGGCCTATGTAGAAGTTGAAAATTACACAGAAGTGGAATAGTGAAAGACAACATACAAATTGAGTATAGTTACTTCCAATTCAAGTAAGTGAATAAACTAGCCCATCAAATGAGGTTATATGTCACCACTATCTTCGACTAGGTAGTTACACAGTGGAACGTCTTTCAATACGAAACACAAAGCATAGTTTACATCGACACAATCTGTTACCATACCTAAATGGAGTACATAGTCCTGATGCACTTTCTCCAACACACCTGGCCTGAATTTACCCAACTGCCAAAATAGAGATGAAAATCTAGGACTGTTGGCATGGTGAACAGGATTGTCTGTCTAAAAAATCACAAGATAACCAACCACAGACAAAAACATTAACAGCAACACTATAGAGGATCTAAATAAACTTACTTATGCCATTAAATTCTGGCTTTGCTCCGTTTCGAAATGCCTCAACTTTCAACTGAGAAACAGCTAGATTGATAGTTACTGGACTTGGATAGGAAGAGTTCAGCACTAAGTTTTGTTCAGCCTTGCAAGAATAGAAGGAACCAACTGGGCAAGAAATAAGTGATTGATTACTTGATGCATTTCTCAAGCCTGCATGCATAAATAAGTCAAAACAAAAACATATGAATAGTGCAATTATTATACTATCAAGGGGATACAGAGAATCAAGATATGGGATAAGCGATATAGATAACTTTCGAGGAGTTAGAGGACTGAGGATTTCCGATAAACATCAATAAACCTAATGGTGCTTGCTATGAGGTAAACATGCTGCCAAAGGAATCGAAACTTTTTCCGCTGACGTAACATCTCTGTGTATGACTTTGGGGATTTTCTGTGATTTACCTGGGTTAACTGCATCAAATAAACGGTTGTAGATCCTATTTCTTCTAACTTATGACAGAAGACACTTTATTTGCTGCAGGTCCATTCCAGTGAAGTCACAAACAAAATATGATTTCACTTAGGTTAACAAATAGTTGGTAACTTAGTAGATAGGTTGTATTATTTAAAAAATGTAAAAAACCTTAAGCCGTTATGATTTTTCTATATGGAAAAACGGTAAGTCAAATAACTAATATGTGACTCACTGACTTAGACAATCAGCCGATGAGTCATGGGTGACAGTCCCGCCCCCCCAATTCCAGTTTGGGCAGCTAAGTAGTACCATCACACACACACACACTCAATAAATGTGGATCTTCGCCTGCTATATACAAAGTCTGTTCCAGGTACGCGAGTTCAAAAAGACCATTCGACATATTTGAAGTGTGATATTATAAAAGCGGTTACGAAAAAAAGAAGGTAAATTTTGACTTGAGGAGAGTCCAATATTGAGTTTTGATCTGATCAGCTCCACCCAATTGGCATATTTCTCTCAAAGGACATGGATAAACATTCAAATTACTCAGTACTTCAAATTGTTTCGCGTCGATTAACCACTACGATTTCCCTCGCTTAACAAACAAGTCCATGTTAACCAATCCAGTTTTTTCAACAACAAAAATGCAATTAAAATATTTGCAGACTGTTGTATTAAGCAATCAGTAGCAACAATTAAGAAAAGGTGGAATACAACAATTGACATTTCAAAATGCTATGTGTGGTGAGAGCACATACTGTGCCTGAAAGTCAAATGATCAGACAGCTTCTAAATTCACTGAAACATATAGTCCAGAATAATTGTTTCACTTGAATATTTCTGTGTAAACAACCCAAGTACAACGGTCTGAAGGATTTGATAAGTGCTCACATTGAAACCATGAAATAGTAGAATGATTAAGAAATTTTAAGAAGGTAAACAGCCTTAAAAGTAAAGATATATCATGAATATGTGTGCTAACAGAGAGCACTACTAACCTGGCAAATTAACCAGTTCGAAATGTAGACTGATCTCATTGAGATTATAATTACTTTTATCATGTTGCGAGAAATTAAATACAAGGCTCCAGTCAGCAACTGTATTATTTTGCGTCCAAGTTAACTGCAGAGTTTCTTTCCTTTCACTACACAAGCCTGTTGAGTTAAATTTGCCACGGTTTGCAGAATTAATCAAAACATGAATCGGTGGGTGTGAAGCCTGTAAATATCGGTGAGCAGAAAAGAATCTTTGAAAATAGACTGAAAAAGCGAAATAGGTAGGTTAAAATTGACCAAACTGTCCTTAGAAAATCAAAAATTCAATATTCCGTCAAACCCATATGATGTGACAAGATCTTTTGTAATGAATTCCAATGGGTTAGCCGCAGGTTGAACCAGTAGACATACTAAAAGACAACAGGCTACACTGATTATTTACCATTCGAAAAAAAAATTCAGTGTTACATCTACCATTAGTTTTACAAAAAAAAACAATGAAAAAGTTATAAAACATCATATGACCAGGTACCAGACAATTTAAAAGTAGAAGGAGAAGTTCCTGAAGTTCTCTTAACTATCTAAATCAAGTTGCTGGAAAGAGGAAAGAAAATATACATGCTGAATTATTACAAAGCCAGGCAAGTAAAACCCCTGAGATGCGATTTTGTTCAAACCCTGGCCGGTATGTTTATAATTTTCCCGATGTTGTCCTTGACGAGATAGATTTGCAAATAATATCTCTTTGCTCTGAGTTTTGTGTTAATCGTGTTAAAATTAGTAAAAATGGATATGCCAATTCAGTTTCAAAACCTCTATATGCAGATCTTCATCAATTGAGCCAACTGAAAGACTCAAATAGACTTTTGTCGATTGTTGCTATAAATATATGAATAGCAAACGGAAATCAAATAGTATACTGACCAAAAAACATAGGGAAGCCTTAAATAAGCTGTGGAGAAATGAGAATTTAATAATTACTAAACCAGATAAAGGTTCTGCAATGGTAATTACGAATAAGACGGAATACATAGACTTTCCTGCTTCGAAGCAAGAAAGTTATGTGAGTACCTTGATTTGATTACGAGCAATAAATTGTGCTCGGAACGTCATCAGTAATCATAACTGCGTAAAACTGTGGCTTTCAAAGTAAAATTTTATCCATAATGACATTATACTCTACCACCGTGCTCAAGTTTTATCCTTGTATCAAATTTTATCTTTAACTAATTGAGACTTAAACAACTGCATATAATCTCAGAAGGTTTGAGTTGAAGACATGAAAAGGTTGACTGCTTTCGATCATATATGTCTGTGATCTCTTTCTCACGTTAGGTGGTATAATAAGGTAAGTAATGTTGACGTTAGGCGTAGAGTGTTGGGCAAAGAGGGAAAATCAATCGACGAGGCTATAAAGTTACATAGATTGAAATAGCTAGGTGACGTGCTGCGCATGCCCAACCATCGCCTCCCCGACGGGCATTACTAGCTGATAAAGGTGCAGGTTGGAAAAGAGTAAGTGGTGGCCAAACAAAAACACGGCCTCATCAATCCATGAAATCCTTGACAGTTAGACTGAGTCAGGTAGGGAGATGCAGACTCCCGGGTTGGGGCCCTCGGGACTCTAAGAATCAATGGCTGGAGGCAATAGGTGACATGGCTCAAAATCGTTGTCAATGGCCAGCGCAGATGTATTCAGTCTCTGTAATCTTTCATATTCCTTTCTACCATTACCCATTCTGTTTCACTCTTATACTTGACAGAATGTATTGATTCTCTTCACTCATCTTCTTGTCTACCTCTTTGTGCTATTTGGAACGTGGCAACTCGAACTGCTGCACTTCGGTGCCAAGTTCTATGTTGAATCCAGACAGACAGATGAAATGATTAAGTGAAACACAGACACAGATATTTCTCCATCTTCCATGAAGAGACTTGTTCTAAGATGTACGATGAGTGTTCATTTCTTGTTTGACAAAGAATACGGTAGACAAACTGGTGGTATGGGTATGGGTTCATCATTGAGTCCAATCCTAGCTATTTTTCTTCTCTAAGTTACAAAGTGGACCATTGAAAAGGAGTAATTAAAAAAATGGAATTCTACTGTTGATCTACTGACAAAACATTACTGATTGTGAAAAACGAGAATAAAGCAACGGACATTCTCAACAAGTTCACTGATGCTCATTCAACAATAAATTTTACCATTGAGAAAGAAAGGAAAGTATTTCATTCATAGACGTCTTTCGGACCAGGAAAGAGGATGGTACATTCGGAAGGAGTGTACATAGGAAACTCACAACGATAGGTCAACACATCCATTTTTTCAATTTTATACCTTTGAATTTTGGATACAGGTTGGTACAATCCTTGGTTCAGAGAGATGGAATAATCTACCTAAACAACTCACTCAGCAAGGAGCTAAAGCTTATCACAGAATTACTTTAAAAAAACGGTTATCCCGATAAGTTCGTTGGTGAAAATATATGTTTAGCACCAAGGGAAATCGGCGTGGTAACAGCTCAGAAATGCCCCTGTTCACAGAACTAAAGTTTCTTAATGAAATAGTAACACAGTGCTTAAAGATTGACGTTAAAAGAGTGCATCAGAAGTACACTGTATCTTCATAACCACTCCGGACTTAACATTAAAGAAATATGGACAAACTACCTAGATTCACCTGTCTACCAGTTCGACTGCTCGTACGGAGCTAGTTACCTTGGGCATACATTTAGGTAGGTTCATCACCGTATTTCCGAACACCATCCTGCATGGTTAAGCAAGGGACAAACAAGATATATTCGTAGCTCTGCTTTGGCTCACTTTGTAGATAGTGAGCATAAATTTGATGTTAATAAAGCATTTAAAGTTATGTACCACATTTCGACCAATATTAATTTTCGATAGAGAAAGAAAGACCACATTTACAGCATAAAATGATATTGTTTCATTTCACAGATTTTGTTTCACGAGTTCGGAATCCACCTGAAGAGGCCAGACCTGTGTGTTCAGAAGAAAGTCGTGCAGGCACTTTCCTCACCTTGGCGATCATTACATGAATGTAAAGACCTGACAATTTCGCCTTTTTTACGAGGACCAAATTGTTTGACTTTTGTTGACTACTTCATCTTTGCCTACTAGGTAATCGACTTGAACGCTTATTTACTCCTTATTTTTCCAAAATCAGGCAATATGTCCTTAATTTGTTTGTAGTAATCTTGATTAATCATCAACCCCCCTGACGTGATAATACTAACTATTGTTAACAAACTTATCGCCACTCGATTGGTAAGTTTGTTTGTATTGTATTAAAGAATGTGACATATATCACAGTAGAGTCAGAGATGAGAATCTAAATGAAAAGTAAATATTTCATAGCTCATTGCTCTCATTTTTTAGTTATTTTATTCCCGTCGATGTCTATCTGTAAGTTGGTTTTCGCTGAATTTGTTTAACTACTAAAGGAAAAGTCTGGTTGATTTTATCTAACTATTAAATTCCACCTATCATAATAGTATGAAATATATACTCATTTTTTAACTTACTCAAGCAGAAATTTAGTAGAGAATTGATACTAAGAAATCACGTAAAGAAAAATAGATAAAGACGGTGAGTAGGAGGATAACTAAGTACGCGTGTTGAATCTTTAAATCATTCTGTATTACTATTTTTGAGAGTAGTTAACAACCAACAGACGGTTTCCAAAGCCAGTGAGGAAAATAACTGAAGTTTTTGTCTGGGAAGAGAAAAGTCTTGATTTCCATGAATTTGACAGACATTTCGGCACACTTTATTACTCTGAATTACTAGCACAAGCATTTATAGCGCACTACAAATGACACTCGGCATTTTGATGTTAGGTTTTCCCGATAAAACAATGAGAAAACAATGCTGACATGAGTTTTGGTACAGTCTCGAAATTAAGATTGAGAGGAACTAAAATGTCACTGTCACCGACTTCAAAAAAAATACCTAATTTTTGATATATTCTTGGATATTTTTCAATGAATAACTCAAAGTAACAAACAGTGAATAAGTGTCACAGGACTTTAAACGTAATACCGAAGTGGTTTATCAGAGAGTTGGACAAATCTTAAGTCAACACGAGAACCTGAGTGTAAAAATACTACTCAAAAACTCAACTCCGTGTTACATGCTAGAAAGGGTTATAAAAAGCTAATTGTAGTTGGCGTTGTACCACTGACTAATGCCATTGGTACTGCTATGGGGCGAAAACAACAAGGTACAGTTGTCCCCAGTTGACGAACCATAAGAGATAAACATTCTTTAGTTATCAGAAACAAACAGATAACAACCGTGCAAATATTTGCCTTGACATTTTAATAGAAATCGTACGCAGCACTCCAATATACTGCGTTGACTTTATAAGCATTCTCTTTACCTCTGCTAACAATATTGATTGTGTTCAAACTCCCGATTTTCCGCATGTCATATTATGTACATATAAGTGCCAACTGCATGGTGAGTGCACAATTTCTGAAGTGTATGGACTTATTCATGGTGCAGAAGCATAAACTCCGCACCCAAAGAAAGTTGGTAGTATCAAAAGACTTAAAGTGGGCATATATGCTCGAAGTCTGCCCCAAATATTCTGCATTGAGTCCCAAATCATTGCTTGCTGGGTACACCATAAATATTCTAAGTCATTTTTCATGTCAATATATGCATATATTAAACTGTCCTATGGAAGTTCTATATGATTCATGTAAATAATACGAACGTTGAAAATAAGTACTAAATCCTAACCTTTGTGTAGACTACAGATAAGTTGACATGAAACTGTATCAAAAGGCAGATATCCGAACTATTTGAATGAACTTGGAAAGTAGCTGGAAGAGATTCGGGTGTTGCCAATACACTGCCAGAAGACACACAATAGGCGGAAAGACCTATACGTAAAAGTTAATAATGGTTATAATCATCTTTACATGCAGCAATTAACACAGGAAGTATAGATACCATCATGAGGAATTATATTTAAAGTGAGCGCCTTTGATCCAACCTTGCCATTATACGCGCAGCACCTTCTAATATCCAATATCATTTCTACGAGCTAGTGTAAATCAATTTTATTTCTTTGTGCTTGCCTCTTGATTTTGAGGCAAAGGTTCTTGATCTTCGGTAAATTTCTGCGTAGCTCGTCCCGCCACTCGACTGTCGTAGCTTTGTTTGACTGCAAAGGCAGTAGTGCTGGGATTAATTATATGTGGTTTTTGGTATGAGGTGTGTTAAGACTGTTACTAATGTGAATGGAGTTGATCCTTTCACCAGTTAGTCTTCCAGCATCATCATCAAAAGAAAAGAGATAGTAATAATGATGATAGACATAATTAGTGAAGTTTTTCAGACTAACAGACAGAAAAAGAAATAAAGAAAACGTTAAAACAGTCTGCTGATTAAATTTGATATGTATATCGGTAATAATAATAATAGGTGTAAGTGTTGTCAGGAGAGTAAGACGGGATAGAATGTAAAGAATTAAAACGACAAACATAGCTGTCTACCTCTGAATGGTGTATGGGATTTCAAGGGGATAGGCCATTTGGACGCAGTCCTTGTGTCGCTGCATGACTATCCATCCTTCGCTTAAAGGTGTTCACAGACGATGCCATAGCTAAATTTGCTGGTAAAGAATTCTAGGGACGGCAAACCCCCAGTGAAAAGAAGTGGGAGCGCACCCGGGTCCTTGCCCTCTGGTGGGCTATCCTTCCGGAGGAAGCCTATACCTACTCAATGGCAGAACACCTTTGTTTGGGTTATTCTGGTTACTCGTTATTTTGTGGGCAGTAATCAAATCCCCCTAAACCGACGGTAGCCAAGTGTAAATAGGCCTAATTTCTTCAGCCTTTCATCATATGGTTTACTTCGGAGACCAACCACTCCTTTTGTTGCCCGTCTTTGGACTCTTTCCAAGAGTTTGGCGTCTCTTCTAAGCAGTGGGGGTGCAATAATATTATGCATTTCAAGGTGTGGTCTGACGTATGTTTTGTAAAACCTTAGAAAGAGTTCAGGAGTGAGTGCGCCTAAGTGTCTATTTGTAAAGTGTGTAACCTCATATGCCTTCGCTACGTCCCCCGTGTAATTTATGCTTGTGTCCATTTTCCCTTTTAGAACTCGACCTAAGTCACACCTTGACGTTGCACAGGACAAGCTTTCATTGCACGGGGTGTAACTTGTACTCTGCAGTCTACAGGTGCGTAATTTCACCAATTTACGGATTCGGAATTCTGGTTGATAATGGAAGAGCTTGGGCCTGTGCTTATCTCTTCCACTAACTGTCTTTGGTTGTTCAATCTTATCCCTAATAAAGCGACTGAATGCGTGGATTACTTCTGATGGTGAGTTTCATGAGTAAGTGGCCAGTTTGGAGCACCAGATATATGCTTCCAGCTCGACTTTTGAACTCCTGCTGTGTTCTCCAAAGTTATCGCACCTGGTGAGTAATAAAACAGAACATAGTCATTTCTGGGAATTTCGATTGGAATTCCCCCTAGTCTGTGATATGCTAAGGAGAAGAGATAATAATAATAATTTACTTTATTCCAAAAACAGTACTTGTGATACAGAATGGAATTTTCAGCATTAATCACAATATTGCATCTAATTTCCTCAAATTATAAATAAAAATTAATCACACAGAAAATTTTTCACATTTACAACAGAGGTAGTGTCAAAAACATGCAGCATATAAAATGGAAATAACAATAATAATGATAACAGCTAGGGTAATAATAATAAGAATACAAGTGAAAATTACCGTTGGCTTGTGTCACACAGTATTGGCAATGTGGTATAGAAATCCTTACATGTTTAAAAATATTGAATATAATGTTCTTTCTACTTGATATGGTGAAGGGAAAAACAAAGATTACAGCCATCATGGAGATAAGTTGGTGTTTGCAATTCTGAGAGTAAAAGAAACAGAGAAGTAACAGGACCATAAATATAATAGAAATAGTAAAAGTAAAACTTGAAGGTATATAAGGATGGATGGAGGAAATTGTTTATTTACTAGATGAAAAAAGGTTAGTTAATTCTTGCCTGACACTATTTTCATCACATAAAATACGTGAGAAGTAAGGTATCATAGAATTTTTAAACTTAGGCGTGCGAGCATACAGTTTTCTGAAGTTACTCCTTGTTCTACCTGAGGAGATGCAAGGTGAAAGCTGAGGGTAAAGCGGATGCTCCAAGTCAGACAAAATCCATTTAGCAAATTTATTGCACGAAGTCAAGTGCCTATCGACAACGACGTTAACTACGTGGTCCACTGGGACACCACTCACCCTACTGACAGTCTTCAGCATTCTACGAATTGCGACATAGTCTTTTTTAAGCAAACCAGGAAAGAATAAGGGTGAACAATAAAGAAGAATAGGTAGGATGCAAGAGTTGACAAACTGTAAGATGAGGCGTTGAGTTATTCCCAAGTGTCTTAACTTCTTAATGTAAAATGTCAGGCGGAATATTTTACTGGAGATTGCTAAGACATGAGAAGACCAGGAGAGATCAGAAGAGAGAATGAGTCCAAGATACTTAATTTCTGATTTGATTCCTATATCATTGTCGTCAATTTTACAACTGTCATGAGAATCGATGACTTCTTTTAACTGTCGTTTACTTCTTAAGCTGAAATCAACAGTTTGACACTTAGAAGGATTCAGTTTAAGACCGTTAGACTCAGACCATTTACTGATTGCCGATAGAAAGCTATTTATTTTAGTACAATCTAGCTGGGAGTTAACAGCCATTGAAACCGTTAAATCATCAGCGTACTTCACAAAGTTTATTTCATCAGAGTGAGGCAAGTCATGCAAGAAGAAAGAAAAAAGAAAAGGAGAAAGAACAGCACCTTGAGGGACACCAGCTTCAGTAGGCAATGAAGTGGAAGACTTCCCTTTATATACGGTGTACTGCTTTCTATCTGAGAAATAGGAATGCAACCAGTTAACAGCCCAACATTCTGTTTGACTGGCTGCAAGTTTATTTAATAAGATGTCCCTAGGGACCGAGTCAAAAGCAGATGTATAGTCTAGGAAGGTGCAACGAGCAAATTTAGCCCCCTTGTCTAGACTGGAAGCAATGTTATGACATAAGACGACAGCTGCATCTAAAGTGCTTCTACTGTGCTTATAGGCAAATTGTTTAGGGTCATTAAAGGATTTAAGCGAAGGTACAAGACTAGGTAAAAGTAATTTCTCCATAGTTTTCAAAAAGAAGAGGTAATAGCAATGGGTCTAAATTTGACACATGCTCTAATAGAAGATTTAGGTATGGGTACAACTTTAATGTCCTTCCAAACGGCAGGCACAATATTATCGGAAAAAGATTTGTTAAATAGATCAGTGAGAGGGTGACACAGAATATCAGAACATTTTTAAAGATAATACTACGTACATAATCGGGACCTAAGCTCTAGGAAGGGTTTAGAGACATGAGGTACCTTTGAACAACATTTGTGTTAAAAACTGAAAGGGGATATTATTAACACAAGTGATGCTGGGAAGCATGGTGTCAATCGAGTTGAAGATTGAACGATCAATTCTTGGTTGTTTGCTCAAAACCAACTTCCCAAATTTTCGCGGAGGCATCAATACGACAGTCATCGTCTCATCGGTCGCTGTTCAGAAAGAAGAGTGAAACATCGTCAGAAGTAATCTTATGATTTATTATTGTAATATTCGTTCACAGACCTTAGTTCAGCTATAATTTTTATATGTTGGTTTAACAATAAAGAAATAACAAGCAGCAGATCGGTGTTTTGGTTTTTGCGTCCGTTATTACTAAGCGTTTCTGAAAATCTTCAAGGAACAGCGTGGGCCCGAGCGTAGCGAGTGCTGGGCATTAACGGTTTATGAGACGTGATTGACAGTTGCCGACGATGGTAACAGATCTGGTGGATTCAAACAGTTGGTGAAAGTTTGGATAGTCACCGTTCATCTTTCCTGGTGCCGGTCAAGTCCTCTTTGAACAAGCAATATCTGGAACCTTTTTTGGAATTTGGTCAAGTTCAACAATGCCTGGGTCAAAGAAGGGACAGAGCGTCTTGGATACAAACAGGAAAGTAAGTCATGGTGACTTGTCTGTTAATTGTAACGATGTGTCTGATGTTAAGCATGACATGGTTGATGTTACTGTTTCGCCGTTCAGGGATAATAGGAACATCAAACTCCCTAAATTTGAACCACGGTGTTTTGATGGAAACCCAGCTGATTATTTACAATTTGTAAAGGAGTTTGAGATCATGTTGAGTGGTTTATTATTAAATGATGAATTGAAGTTAATGTATTTGATGAGATATTGCACTGGAGATGCTTCAAGAGCTATACAGTGCTGTAAGTTTATGAAGCCAAAAGAGGGCTACGATGAGGCTATGAGCATATTACGTCAAAGGTTTGGAAGACCTTCGATGATTGCAGGGAAATTATTCGAGGCTGTTAAGGGTAATGGTGGTCAATTACAGGATGACTCCCAGGCACTCACTGAGTTTTTAGATAATTTGCTAATTTACAAGAATGGAATGATTTCGATGAATCGAATGAGTGACCTCAACTCGAGTTTTATACTAGAAGTAATAGCAAGACGTCTACCTACTCGACTGCAAAGGAAGTGGGTGAAGATGGGCTCCCGTATGGAGGATGAGGGTATCGAGCCAAAGTTTGATGATATCCTGAAACTGGTAAATACTAGTGTCAATCAATCTATGAGCAAGTTCGCCAGTATATTACATCTCACCCCTAGAATAGAGCAGTCTGAGGGTAAAACGCAATCATTGATGACGAATAGGCCTCAGAGAGGTGGATATCGAGAAGGCTCCATGATGTCTAGTAATGCATATAGACCTAGTGAGTGTAACAGGTTTCGTAGTACATCCTCAACAGATAAGTTACAAGATGCAAGACAAACACGGTTGTGTTTTACACGTTTGCAAGAGGTGCATACAAAGGTGAACTGTGAACCAGTGAGCAAGTTCAGTGATAAGCTAAATGTAAACTCCAGGTCTGACTCCGAATTGTGTGACGATAACGTTGTTGTGAAGAAGTCTGTAGTTGCAACTGGTAAGCCATTGTTGAATAGAGTGTCACAGAAGAGAGTTACTGCCTCAGAGGACAGTTCTGACTCCACAAGTTTACAAGGTATTACTAGTCAGAGTGAAGATATAAAACCTTTAATGATTTGTGAGGAGGAACCAAAATTGTCTACTTCTGTTATTAAAGAGTTTGAAAATGATGAACTCGACGGTAGATTGAATATTTGTGGTAATGATCATGATAGTGCAGATTTGTCTTTGGTTGATCATGATGAAATGGAGGGAATGCCTACTACCGCTAAGTTAAATAAAGGTTCTGTAGAACTTGAACTTGAAGTAGAAATAAATGCAGGTGCAGTTGCAGAAGGCATGCGTACTTGTGAGACCGTCAGTGTGATTGATCAGCATGT